CTTTTCTTTTTTTTTTACGGCCGAATAGAATTACGGGAAGCCAATTATGGCGCAAACACCGGCCGCCATTAGAGCCTTAGAGATCGCCTCGATCGTGGAACGATCCACAGATCGAGAAGAGGTACCCGTTTCGAGGATTCGTTCTTTTTTTCTCCCGTCTCGAAACGGTAGCCTCGCATCGAATGGTCCAAAGTCGTAAAAAAAAAGAAAGAAGAAAAAGAAAATAAAAAAAAGAAAAAAACACCGTGAGCCAAAAAAAAAAACAAAGCATTGTAAATAAAAAGTGTAAATGAGATTCGAAGAGAAAGGGGAGCCTAGCGTTAATCATTATCACGTCGTTGTTTTCTTTCTTAATAACGTTATTTACACAAATTATTATATTAACTTATATTATAACGATATAACGTTCAATATATATTATATATATATTGAATTATAAAGAAGTAAAAAGAAGGAGAAATAAAGAGATTGCTAGCTCTATGATGAGTCGATTGCGATTCAATTTCTATATTCGTTTAATCCAAGTTAAACACAAGGATTTTATTACAATTGGTGATTATAATTGAGCGCATGGTTGAATCGTTCGTATTGATGAGGCGCGTTGATGTCTCGGCCTCCGAAGTCCGCATTGTTCACAGGGATGTCGTCGAACGGGACTGAAAACGGGAGGAAAAGTTTACCATATTATCTGATAAATAATTATTAACTTTTACTTTGTTACCTCCTGCGAAAGGATGAACGAAATTCGGTTGACCGTCGATCGGAATTCGATGATCGTAATAATCCTGTCCCACACCTTCTTCTCTCCCCGTCTTCCCTCCTTGTCTGCCCGTATTCTCTTCTTGCGTTCTGTAATTCTCAAAGAAAGGCGCTGATCCGATGATATGCTGATCCCCTAGTTCGTTCGGGTAATTGCGTGGCTGATAAACGTGTTGGAAATTAGGAAAATACGGATGTTGAGGTATTCTTGGTATTCTCCTTGCTTGGCAAACGACAATCGTCGCAAGACACAACTGCAATCGAATTTTACGATAAATCGTTGCTCGAAAGAAAGTCGAAAGTGTTTCGAAAGATTGTTTCGATCGAGAATATTTTTACAGGAAAATTTTCACTGCACGATTTAATACTTAAAACTTAATAAATAACATCACTCACCAACAGACAGCACTTCATAGCGAATGCCTCTAATGTCCAGCAAAAGAAATATTCAAAAGAGGATTCCACTAGAGGATCTCCGCGCGTGCATACACGTTTTATACGCGACATTGGCAAAGAATTTCGAAAACCGATGCTCGATGTTGACAAGAAAAGGGGAAAGATTACACCCTCGTATCCGTTAGTTACCGCGCTATAACTATACGTTTCATTGCCGCGACTTGCGTAATAGGATTGCGGCGAATGGGCGAGGAAACGAACGATTCATCGAAATAATCGGGAATCGAAAGCAAGACCGGCTCGTAATTAATTCCTTACATAGTCTTGGCCATCGAACTGGCGCAATCCTAGTCGACCGATAGAAGGTATTCTGGAAATTCGTTGCCAGCGTTGAATCGTTGTTCGAGCCAGGCTCCCAGCTTTTCTGCCGTATACACAGGTATGTCTCATTTCTTTTTTCTTTGCATTTTTCTTTAAATCTACTAACATTTATCGTCGGAGTACATTACATCGAGTCAAAAGTTAATCGCCGATCAATTTCATTTCTTGTAATATCAAGTCTACCAAACTTAGAACGAGATATCTTGAGCAGATCACCTTGATGTCGTGGCGTAACTTTGCACGTTCACGTAATTGGAAACAGGGTGAAATATGTATGGAAAAACCTGACGATTTTAAAAGTATCTCTCTCTCTCTCTTCTCTCTTTCTTTGTTTCTTTCTCTTTCTCTTTCTATTTAACATCGATGATGAAATGGAAGCAGAAAAAACGAGATTGCCCTCGAGCAACGACCAACAAAGTTTGCTTCTCGAGGTTGGAAAGGTTTGTCGGTGGAAAAGCGGCATCTCGAAATCGATGGAGTGGTCGAGAACCACTGTGTACACACGGGCAACGTAGGAGCAACGCCATTTCGGTTTGCCAGGAATAATATCGAGGGAAAGTTTCATCGGAAAATGAGTTTCCACGAGTTTCGGATTAAGATCTCGAGAGAGAAAGGCAATCTCGTTGTATCCCCGATCGACTCGTAATCCTCGTGTTGCAGAGAGAGAAAGAGAGATTATCTGTTATGAAATCCACGCGGTGCAAAGTTCTCGAGCGAAAAATCAGCCGGCCATCGAAACTTCGCCCTCGTAACGGCTCTCCGCCAAATGGAAAATGGTATAAGCTTTTAACGGAGTTTCAATCCTCCCGCTCGTTGTCGCGACGAGAGCCACTAGAGTCCCCTAGATACCGAAGAAGCGGCAGCGATTGCGGAATCGAATTGAACGAAGGAGGAAAAGTTGGAAGAGGATACGCACGGACAAGGGTGAGTGGATACATTGAACACCTAGATTGACAGTTCCTTCGTTTCTTTATTGTATAATTTGCGTGGCGTGATTTCGCTAAATTATCGCTTGACTACGAACGTCGTGGCGTCATGGCGTTAAGGCTGTGCCGCTTTGACGTTTCGAGTTCCGTTGGGCGAGAAGTTCTCGACGAGTTCTCACGGGAGAGGGAAAACTTGTTCCGTTTCTCCCCCTCCTTTTCGAGACTAAATAACTAGACAAAAAAAAAAAAAAGTACAAAATAAAAAAAAGACGATCGAAGCCTCGATCGCT